TATTAAAGACAATATAATAATTTCTGATAAGAATGGAACTGAATGTACCATTAACACATACCTATCTGAGGGTTGAGGTGGTGTTGGCGATAATGATGTTGCAACTGATAAAATTTCCAGACTCTTCTCAATTTCTTCAAGTCTGTCCTTTCGACCAGACAGTATTTCATCTACTTGCTGCAATGTTAAACTTGGTGGTTGCGAAGTAACAGGAGGAGATGAGATTCCACCTGACAAACATGCGAAACAGTTAATAATTATTTATAACCGATGGATGAGAAAATATTAACAAAAACAATGAGTAAACAAGAATTTTCTCTCTAACCAGAAAGCGAGTGGTCTGATGGGGTTGTCTTCCCACTTGCATTTTGATTTGAATCTAAAGAGTTGAAATCATTGCTCTCTGGGCCTCCGTTGTAACAGTCATCGTTGTCATCATCGTCGTCATCATCGTCGTCGCTTTTGCTGTCCCTAATAGAAAGTAAAAATAAAATGTTGACGAACGTGGATATAAGAAGATTTTCACAGATGCCAGAAAGTGCAAATACCTGTCTTGATTACGCCCTTCAAGTTTATCGAGTTTTCGGGCAACTTTGTAAGACCCTCTGAGCTTATCCTTTTCTTCTTCAGTAAGATCTAGATACCTAAGGAAGAAACAAATTATATAGGGTTTTAATGACATAACAACCAAAATTAGATTCCGATAGAGTATTTTTTAAATACAGAAAACATACCTAAGCAATCTTATTTCTCGATTACTCAAAACTATGTTCTTGGATAGTTTGGCCTGAGCGAGTCTACTTTTTAAATCTGCGATCTCGCAATTCAGCTTCCTCACTTTCTTGCGCTGCTTCACTTCAGTCGGCCTGATGAGCGTGTAGACTTGCTCGTCGCACAGCTCGGCCAGGAGCTCCTCGTACTCTGGAGTGATGCGGCTGTAACAAACAGCGGAGGGGGGACTCCCGATAGAGAATCAAAGCGCGGGCGACGGGTCCAAGCAAAGGCAAGAAACTCAAAAATGCGGCGTTTTACTTTCCATGACATCCCCCGACTTGAACTGAGAAGTCCGCCGTGCACGTACCTGACCATAGCGTTGTACACGTGCGGCACGAGGGAGAGCACGTCCGCCGCCGAGTACAGCATCATGTCCCTGGTGAAGGGGCGGCGCGCCCAGTAGCGCTGGTCACGCCGGTACACGTTCTTGAGCTGGTCCTTGAGCGGGTTCAGCGGCGCGTTGTAGTCGGCGCACAGGTTGTTGAGCGACACGTTCTTCACCTTGTAGACCGGCTTGCCGGTCGTCATCAGCTGCAGGATGGCGTGGCCGGCCTGCAACAAGGGGGGGGGGGGCAGTGAGCGCCTGGCGAGTAGGCAACCCTGGGCGGCGAGCGCACGGCTGCGCGCTCACGGCCTACCTCCCCGGCGCGCGGCACAGAGCGCCTGGCGGGTAGGCAACCCTCGGCGGCGCGCGCACGGCTGCGCGCCCAATGCCTACCTCCCCGGCGCGCAGCGCGCCCAGCCCCGCAGAGACCCAGGGACGCAGCCCTTCCACACTGGAAATCGAACTGAACCAAAGTCTACACCTAAGCAGGCGAGCGAACCAACTCACGCGTGTTGTGAGTGAGTGTACGACTGACTGCGACAACTTGACAACTTTTTGTCACACCGTTGCAGGCGAGCAAACGGGCAATTCTTCACTATTCGGCAATCTACGAGCTCATCTACATCTTTGCCTTCCGCCATTTGAAGGGTCTCCTGACCCCCGAAACTGAACTAACCAAATTTACAATCAAACTTACTTTGTAAGCACCATACTTTTGAAAGAGAATGTACTCCTTCCAGTTTCTATGTAAAACAAAACTGTTCAAACACCAGTAGAAAAGTGCAGGATTCCCGTACATGAGGGCGTACACAGGACATCCGTGCTTATTTACAGGCCTTCCCCCTTAAACAGTGGGGATTGATTTGAGTTAATTTTGGTAAAGAAATTTCTCCCGCTTACACACGTTTGTAGTACACATAAGAATAATGCGGTAAACCATGTCATACTCCTACTGTAATAACTAACCAGGCAGACATGATAAGATAAGGAGATGCTCGGTCAACTCATGTGCAACAGTAATGGCGAGTCGTGAGAGCGTCAGACATAATTTAAAGGTAAAAATAATTCTACAGACGAAGAGTCTTATTTTGGGATTACCACGCCACCAGAGGAGATGCGATAGCCTGCTACGGAGGATGTTGAACAAATTCCATCAGACAATTGAAGTTCAGGTCACTGACGCTGACTTCACTTCAAGTATACTTCATACCCATACCGTCAGCTAGTAAAGATTACGGATCTAATTTTCGCCCAAACGCACGGTTTACCGACTCCTCACAAATTGTCACTAACAATCACCGAAATTATACTTTGAATGGCTTAATCTGGTGCAATGTTGTGTCCTAAATTGGGGCACTTAATCCAGCGGGCTATTTTGAAACTTTAAACTCGTCCCAAAAATTTTATTTGTATTCTTCAGAGCCAAGATATGAAGTACTGAAGGTGGCGTCAATTTGCCGGTGGCATGAGCTCAAACTGACTGATGGAATTCGCTGAACTTCCGCTCCGGCGACATTCGTGCCGGAAAGTGTGTTAGAAGACTTGGGAGCGCCTCGCGCCTCTCGATCTTAGCCGGTATTCATGAAACAACCGAAGCACAAACCGGTTTCACGGCGCAAGCTTTTTACACTGCTGCAGAAAACAGATGAATACGTATACTAAACAACGTCGTGGTGCGCACCTGGGTATCGAAGACGTTCGTCAGCGTAATCTGGAACTGGTTGTACAGATTGACGCTGTCGCCGCGACAGTCGTGGATGACCTGCAAGCAGACAGAGAGATGGGGCATTACAGCATCATTAAGCACAGCAGTGTTTGCAGTCGACCCAGTATTAGCAGTGCAGAGCCCCCTCCACCGGGGGAAAACACTGACTAATAAATCCACGTCCAAACTGTCAATCGAGACACCCGCCCACCCACACCGGCACCACCCAGACTCGGGTCGGGCCGGGAGGCCAAAGACAGCAGAATCGGGCTGCCATTTTGGCCTTCGGAAAGAAATACAGACTGCTCCGAATCAAGTCAGTCAGTAAGTCAGTACAAGTCCGTGTGGCACGGCCACGTCATCAAGTCCGTGGTGATGGTGTTGGAGGGGGGGGGGGGGGGGCTTTTATCTTGTTACCTGCACCCCCCAGCCCCAGCCAGCCGTTGTAGCCTGTGCATGGGCAATGAATGATGTCTCGGGCGGGGAAAGAGCGCCACAGACACAAAACTACTACCCTCCTCTATCCACCAGGCTCGCAATTTCCTGGCCATAAGCCCCAGCAGCAGCAGCAGGGGCGCAACGGCGGCGCCCTGGCGGTATAGCGGCGGCCGGACAGACAAGGACTTCTGACTCCCACCCCGCCCCGCCGCCGGTCACAGCGCGACGCCACGTGACTTTGACGTCCGAGATTAATCGACAGCCACCCGCACCCGCCTGCACTGCTCACCCCAAAGGGCTCACCGCGACACGCACACGACGCCAGACCCACGCGTCGTGTGCACACGGCAGGCGCACGGGGGCAAGCAGCGCCTCAAAAAACAGTTTCATTTTGCTCTCTTTTCTCCCTATACTCTAAGAAGATTGCATTCAAATCGCAACAAAACTATTTCCTCGGAGAAGGGGGGGGGGGCATTCGTCGAGGGGGATGATGTGGGGACACGCGGCGCGGTGGAGACCAGGGGGCAGGAGGGGGCGTTTTCCAGACTGATGAGGAGACATTAAACTCCCCGTCGTCGACGATGACAACCGCAATACAAGCCGAGCAGCCCAAGGCGGCCGGAGTAATCACTAGGGGAAGGGAGGGGGGGGG